TTAATGTTTAAAAATCATCTTTATCTTCCTAGTGACAAAGACAAAAGAGAGTTGCCCCAAGATCACTGGACAGTCAGCTGCATTCCAGTCCTGTTTCCTTTTACTCAATCTTAGTTAAAAATCAGTATCTTCATCATTTTTAATGATTTATTCTTTCCAAATGGTTATGGCAGACTACCCCACCTCCTTCGTGTCCAAATCTAAATGATATAATGGGTCCCTTACCACAGGCAGTCACTATCAGAGAACTAAATGTCTGTATCAGGCAGGAATTTTTCAAATAATGACAGATTACCAACCTTGAATGTTTTCTTTGAAGTGTCACATTTATGAAGGGTAAGTGTTGTAAGCTAATTATCCAAGGGTACGCAAGAAAAAGGCTTAGGTATTATCAGATTCACATCTATGGTTAAATTGGCCCCTCTCTTAAAAGTGATACTAAATTCTGGGGGACCAAGGTTCATGTTTCCATTGTATGATATATATGTGGATTCAAGATTGCAGATGAAGTTGCTGATATGGGGTATGGTATGGGGATTCCTTTGATGTCCAAATGTAAACTTGGCTCAAACTGAGATTATTAAAAAGAGTGAGGAAAGAAAGGACTCTTAGCTGAGTCGAATGTAGAGGCAATGTCCAGGGCCATAATTGACAAGCATTTTAGAAGGTCTTTGACATCTCTGTTAAGTTCTCCTATCTTCTCGGAGAGGTTGTCTATAGTCATGGCATCATTCATTACTAATAAGCTGAAGACCCATCTCTTTTTCTGTCTCAACTTTTATCTGTACCTCCCTCTCATATCTCCAACTACCTGTTGTATACTTTCTCCTTGGTGTTCTCTGTGCCCTTGGTATCTCAAATAGAATCATTCATCTCCTTTGACAAATCTAAAACCTAGTCTGAGTAGCTTACATGTTCTGGGTATCATTGTTCTCCAAGATATCCTTTCTCACAAGCTCCTGGTCATCAGAGATTCCCTTCCTCTTTCTCTTATACGCTATAGAAGCCTTATTTTATTGGTTCTTCCTTCACAGGCTCTCACTTTTACTTCTTTTTATGACCCAGATCCCTTTTTGCCTGCACTATTGAGGTAAGATAACCTTGTCACACTGGTTTCCTGTCTGGAGCTCTGGAGCTCTCCCTTCCTCCAAACTAATTCATAGTCCACAGAAATAGCCTGAGACCAACTGAGAATGATTGAATCCAGCCTGTTAGGTTAAAAGTGGGGCCAAAAATAGGCTCTAAAAAACTTAAGTCAAAGTTTTTATTGGAATTCCTCCCCACGTGTCACATGAAGGAGGAATTGGACTATTTCTTGGTCCAAGAAAACAGCCACTGAGTGGACAGTAAGAGGGAGTAAATTTTAGACTCATTAGAAGAGGTTTCCATGGATTCAAGCTGTAGTACGTGGAACAGTACAAATTCATATGAGAATGGGTTCTCTGTCCTAGATAATCACTTCTTAGTCATACTGTAGTAAGCTTACATGCTTTAGATCATAATATGGGGCAAAGGTTTTTTGCCATATGGCCATTAAGGTCTTTTCAAATTCCAGAGTTTTGCAATAGAAACACAGCTCTCCCCATTTCTCCCTCTGCTTCCCACCTACTGGGAATCCAGTCTATTCTTGCTGCCCCATACTTCCCTCATTCCAAATCTACAGTGAATGAACATGCTTTCCTTCAGACAGATGTTCCTCTGCTCACCTCATCAATGGCTTTTCAGTCTAGGTTGCTGTCACCATGGGCACTTTAAATAATCTGGATGGTAAATTTGCTTATTAAATACCTTTTACATGCCAGGATCTATCCCCAGAATTTTTCCTGATATGACTAGTACACAATTCTCTGAATACTGTGGGTTTAAGGTTCTTCTTTTAACCAACTTCAAAGAAAGGGAAACCTAATATCTTATGGGTGGTAGGTGACAAAACTGAAACTGTACCAGTCTTTTCTAACTTCAAGTTCTGAGTACTTGAGAAAAGAGACAAAAGGGAGTAAAGGAACAAAAGTTCCCTCAACTAAGCAGTGTAGGATAGGGGATATTCAGGGGGAATCCTACATATTGAAAAAGTACATCTGACGTTTTATCTCAGTAAGTATTAAACTATATGTGTTGCCAGCAAAATTCATAAATTCTGATGTTTAAAATAGCTACTGGGAGCTAACAAAAAGAAAAGAGGGAACTATAATATATTTGATTAAAACATAAAAGAACATTAATTAGGGTATATTTCTATCATGTGCCTAGTAGTCATGTAACATAGTAACAAGTATGCTTGTCCTTCAGTGTATATTAGATTAGCATTGCATGAATTATTAATTTTAACATTACCATGTTTAGATATACCTACCTTCCATGTAGCAAGCTATTTAATCACAATTTTTCAAAAAAAAGTCAGAAATGCTAATAGTGAAGTACTAATAGAAAGAGGTTGGGGAGGTAAGTAATGGACATGCTCAGCCCTGTGTATTGCACATACTAAATGTTTATTGGATCTGAGTCTAACATCTGTATCAGGAATGAAGTAAAAGGTCATGTCATTATTTTGTTTTATTCTCTAATATAAGTAACCACCAAAATTTTCAAAATCATGTACCTTTTGATATATTAATTCTACTTTTAGGATGCTATACTAACACATAATTTAATCAATCAGTACCCTATTGTTTATGAACCCATCTTTATGAGCTGAAAATGAAATTAGAAGAGAACAGAGTTGTTGAATGCCTACTATGTGCCCAACACTTAGGTTTATCTGCTTTATTGTCAAGTAATCCCGAGAAGTAGATCTGTTACCTCTTTTAAGAATAAGACAACAGAGGTGCCTGGGTGGCACAGTCGGTTGAGCGTCCAACTCTTGATTTCTGCTCAGGTCATGATCTCAGGATTGTGAGATAGAGTGTCCGGCTCCATGCTCGGCAGACTCTGCTGGAGATTCTCTCTCTTCCTCTCCCTCTGTCGCCGCCCCCCCACCCCTGTCTCTGACTCTCTCTCAAATAAATAAATTTAAAAAAAAAATAATAAGAAGAGAGGCACCTGGCTCAGTTGGTTAAGTGGCTTAACCACTTGATTTCTTGATTTCAGCTCAAGTTATGATCCCGGAGTTGTGTGATCAAAACCTAAGCTGGCTCCATGCTGGCCATGGAGCCTATTTGAGATTCTCTCTCTGCCCCTCCCCATCCTGCTCCCCTGCACTCTCTCTCTCTCTTTAAAAATAAAAAATAGGGGCACCTGGGTGGCTCAGTGGGTTAAAGCCTCTGCTTTCGGCTCAGGTCATGATCCCAGGGTCCTGGGATCGAGCCCCGCATCGGGCTCTCTGCTCAGTGGGGAGCCTGCTTCCTCCTCTCTCTCTGCCTGCCTCTCTGCCTACTTGTGATTTGTCTGTCAAATAAATAAATAAAAAATCTTTTAAAAAAATAAAAATAAAAAAGAATAAAAAAAACTGAGGCCCACAGAGGCCACATATCTTGTCTAAAGTCGTATAGGTAGTAAATAACTGATCTGGAATTTGAACTCAGATATCTCTGCGTCCAAAATCTATGTTGTTTCCAGCATACCAGTAATTTAAACATTGGATTCTGTGGAAATGTCTGAGGTGGTGAAGGAGGCTAAGGGGAAGGCTGAGTGGGTGGAACTCATGTCCCACACTCACTACAGCTAAAGCAATTAAAAAAAATCTTTTTTAGGGACTCCTGGGTGGCCCAGTCAGTTGGGAATCTGACTTGATTTCTGTTCAGGTCATGATCTCAGGGTTCTGAGATCAAGTTCTATATGGGGCCCCACACTCAGCTCGGAGTCTCCTTGAGATTCTCTCCCTCTCCCTCTGCCCCTCATGCTACTGCTTTCTCTCTTTCTCTCTCTCTCTCAACTAAATAAATAAATAAATGAAATTTTTAAAAAGTTTTTTTAACCATTCTATTACATCATTATTGGTATGGGGATTTAACATTAAAAAGAATTTTCACATAGTTCTATCATACATACTGATAGATTGGTAGCTTATTAAAAATGAAATAATCTATCATTATCTATTCCATCAGCTGGGGAGACCTGAGTGCACTGGAAAAGGCACTCAGGAATCATAGGCATTTATTTTAATTCAATTGATTTAATTCAGAATTTTATAAAGATGGGAGTGGGGAAGTTTGAGATAATAAAGGTCACCTAAACCTGGGCCAGTCTCAGCTTAGTCTTCAGAGTAAAGATTCATAAAAAGGGCCTCACAAAGCTGGATGGACCTGTTTTGGTCAAAGGTTCACAACATTTTCAGCACAACTTGATGTTACACCTAAGCAACCTAATAAAACCCATACCACCATACCCAGTGAATGCAAAACTTGTTATTTTAAGAGAGTGCACCTAGATTTAATCTATCTGATTTATTTATTTATTTATTTATTTATTTGTTCATTCATTCATTCATTCATTCATCCATTTCTTTACTCTGGAGGTGGTCGGAGAAGGTTGACCACTAGGTGAGCTAGAGATGAAACCTTTGAGACCCACTCACTATACTACACTAAATCAGATTTTTGTGGTTGGGATTTGTTTCCTTATTAAAAGGTGTGGAAACCCATAAAAAATGTTTGAATATTCTTTCTAAACCTCTCACATATCTTTATTAGTTTAAGGTGGGGGTAGGGGTGGTATGGTATGGGTGTTAAATTACTCTTCCTAGGGGGAAAAAAAAGTAACATTTCCCCCATTACTTAATTTGTATTAGAGATTCCTGTCAGCTCCTACAGAGCAAACAATGCAGTTTTATGTGACAAAGATTGAAAAAAATCACCATATATGCCACAAATGGAGGTAGAAATGAAGAAGATAAAAACTGTATTACTTGTTTGAAAAGCACCCAGGGTCAAAACTTTTTAGGATGTAAAGCCCAGATGAACTCTGGGCTGCTTCCTCAGGCGACAGAGACCTCTGGCTAGAGAAGTGTATTTATAGTCTCCTGCTCGAAATTTTACCTGATTCTTACTTTATTTTTATTCCAGTTGCTACATTGATGGCCGGGTGGTCAAGGTGATGGACTTCCTGAAAACTCGCCTGTTAGACACACTCTCTGACCAGATTAGGAAAATTCAGAAAGTGAGTAATTGTCCCCTGGGAAGGAGTGAGTTTGGGGGTAAGCAATGAAAAGGTCTCAGGGTCCCAGCTGGACATCAGCACTGTGGGAACCAGGGCAGAAAAATAGTATAGTCCAGAGCTCCCTTTCACAGCTGATGATTGTTGTTTATTGTTTTTCAAATTGAGAACTGTTTGAATGTGCCATTTCTGGGTTTAAAAGCTTTTCTATTTTAATAACAACTATTTTATAAGAGTTTGCTTCTAAATTACGAGTTTCTTAAGGGAAGGATAGATTTACTTTATTTCCTTTTTGCAAGGGTTTATATGGGGCTAGTTTATGGAGGGAATGATTATATTTATTCAGTGAAATTCTGGTCTGGGGCATCGGCCATGTTTACACTATTCTAAATTGTGTTAAATATCTGAACCATATATATGCTATTCCTAGATGTTTTAGAATCAGTCAAGTATCATCTTACTTTTGTAGAGATGGGGGGGAATCTATATTATATTAAGCAATTGCATGTATGTCCCATTAGCAAGACATCTTCGGTCAACAGTTCTCAAACTTGAGTACAATCAAAATCACCAGAGGTTGCTCATAAAGTCTGCAGTCTCACTCCTGATGTTCTGAGTTAGTATGTCTGGAGTGGTGGATCCCAGACATCTCTATTTTTAATAGTAATCTGTCAAGTGATTCTACCCAATGCAGATCACATTTTGAAATACACTGGATTAGTTCATTCTGAATTGTGAAGATCTTATGTCTGTGATTTCCCTCTGCCTCTACAAAATTATATCACATCTTTTGTTACCCAGTCAGGTCAGTTTTCCAGGGAACGGAGACCTCTTGCACACTCACCTATCTCTTGAGCAGATTAAACAAATCTTTGCAGAAAAATAGGAACAGTTAAATGACCCCCATTAATATGGGATGAATGAATAAATGAATGAACAAATGAATAAATGGATCATGTATCAAATTAGCTGTGAAAGAAAATCATATTTGGAGTATAATCATAAAAAAGCACTCTTAACTGATAAAGTGGTGTATTTTTTGGTATCCAGACCAGTGTTCTGCTCAGATTACAAAATTTCTTTGAGTCCCCATGTTCTCAAAGAGAACTCAAAGCAGCTGGGAAGCCTCAGGACTTCTGGACTTCTGCATCCCAGTGTGATCCCTCTGGGAATCAGGTGCATTGCCTAGCATCTTTATCTGTCACTTCCTCCTACCATGTAAAGCCGAGGCAAACTAAATAATTTGAAATATCTCTGCCAGTCTCCATTTGACATTCATTTAGTTTTTAATATTTAAATATTTAATATTTACTGAGCACTTAACAAGTACTAGGCAAAGTGCCCGGTGCTAGGGATACATGCTGGGGATATGGAATATGACATAGTCTCTGCCTTCAAGAAACTCACAGTTTTAAAGTTTATCAGTTGCTTTAAAAAGGTTGAAAAATATTACTTAAGGCAGTTGAATATCATTCTATTGAACACTGCAAATTTATAAGCACTTTATACTAATCTGAGAGTAGGTATCATTCTCTAATCTCTATAAGGAGGGAGGAAATTTCTTTCATTCGTTTATTCTTCCATCCAACAGATATTTATTGAGCACGTACCAAATTCCAGGCAATATGCTTAGTCTTTGTGTTACAGTAGTGTATGAGATAGACAAATCCCTGTATTTTGGGCTTTTCTGATACCAAATATAATGACCTGCTTAAAGGGCTATCATTGGAAGTAAAATGATTCTTGGTATCATGGCATTGAGAGTGATGTTTCTAACTGTGCTCATGTAATTATTTAAGAAGAACACGTAACTCTATATCAGAATGAAGACAAAGGTGTTGGGAGTTAGGTTCTTCCCTTTCTCTGCACTGCTTGTCTTCCTCCAAGGCTGGATACTTCTTAATCACCACAGAATGTTCGAAGACTGAAATAAGTGGCTAAGCTCATGTTCTCATTTGTCCAGGCAGGGCCAAAGAACCTTAAAGAAAATGGCTCAAACCCTGTGCACAATTGAGATTCAGATTCAGACCTTTTAAAGTCTAATGAACTTGGATGGGAGGGCCACATACAGCTGCAGGGAGGAACAGTGGCACCCTTAAGAAAAATGACCTTTATGAAGAAGGCATCTGGCTGGGGATGGCTATAATTAGTAGTAAGACCTGATCTCAGCTTTGGCTGTTGCAGACAGAACATGCCCGAGGTCCTCTCAGACCTAGGTTCCTGTTCTGGTTATGACTTTCTGTGCAACAAATTACCCCAAAACTTAGTGACATTAAACAACTATTTACTGTGCCCTTTGATTCTATGGGTCAGGAATCCTCACAGTGCCCTATGGGGATGGTTCATCTATGCTCCATGATGTCTGGAGCTTCAGCTGAAAGACTTGAAGCCTGGAGTCACTCAAAGGCTTGCAGCTGGAATCACAAGACTTGTTCACTCACAGGTCTGGCAGTTGATACCAGCTGTCAGCTAGCACCTTTGTTGGGCTGATAAGTGGAATAGCGACTTCTGGACTTTCTACATAACCAGGGTTTCCTTCCAAGGTCCAAAAGTCAGATGCCCAGAAGTGAGAGTCAGGTGGAAATCATACCACCTTTTCTAACCTACCCTCAAAAGTCATTGGGCTTTACTTCAATCATAGTCCATTCATTGAGACAGTCAGCAAGACCAATGGAGATTCAAGGAGAGAGGAAATAAATTCCTTTTGGTGGGAGAGTAGCAAGATTCTGGAAGAGCATTTAGTACTAGAATGATTTTTGCAGTCATCTTTGGAAAATCTGTCTGCCACAGTTTCATCCTCCCTGTATCATTTAGGAGCCCTTCATTTCCCTGTCTAATTTTCTTTTCCCAGCTCTCTTTCACAAAGCTCTTGCCAGATATTGCCTTAAATGTGTATCTACTGGAGGTGTTGCTGGATCACAGATTCCCTGAGATTTGATTTATGGGGTAGGCTTTCCATTGGCTGTACAGCCTGGACCCAGTTGCTACAACCTCCAGGATAAGAATCTCTCTCACCACAGCCCAGGAGGTACTAAGCACTGGTCTGCTCTGGGGAGATGGGGACTGGGAGACCAGAGAAGGGTCATCATGTTTTGCCAGTTAAAAAGTTGCTTTGGCTGTTCCTGAGGTCCTGTGTGGGTGGGTGGAGGGTCTGGGAATTAGAGTCCAAGGTGCACACTGGGACACACTGGCCAAGCTTCTTTCCCGGAGCTTCCAAAACCAATTTAGAGAAGGGGCAAGTAAGACTTTAATATGTATATACCTAGAACCTTCATTTAAAAGCTAAAAGTAGAATCTTTGTTTCTACTCTATTTTGAGAAGCTCACAGAAAGTCTAATGATTCCCCTTAGGCCTACAGTGATGGAAAAAGGGCAGATTTTCTACCAAAATCAATTCATGAAGGAGTGGTTAGATAAATCAGTGATGAGACTGTGTTTGAATAAGAGATAGAATATGGAATTTGAAGTCGGACGGCTTGGGTTGGAGCTCAGGCTTAGCTGTGTAACCTTGGGTTATTCACTTAACCTCTCTAATTTTATTTCTTCATCTGTAAAATGAGGGTGCTAAGAATACTATGATCTTTCCCTTTTAGGGAGATTAGGAAAGTCACATGAGGCCCTGTTTTGTTAATTGCTATTGGATGCTATTCTTATTGCTAATATTATTGTTAATTCAGTTTAGTTTGTTTTTTTTTTTAATTTTTTTCTTTTCTTTTTATTTTTATTCCAGTAAAATATATGGAACACTTCACAAGTTTTTGTGTCATCCTTTTGCAGGGCCCATGCTAATCTTTGTATCATTCCAATTTTAATGTATGAACTGCTGAGTGAGCACTATTGTAGTTATTTTTAATAATAATTTGTATGACTGGAGAAGCTTCTGGCTACCTTTATCCTCAACTTGTTCTTTGTTTTTTTTCCTCTTTCCTCTTTCTTTGAACCTTGGGGAATATGGTAGGTGATATTTTTGGCATCTGAAAGACAGTGACTCAATTGCTAAAAACAGCTGTGGTTTTCAAATTTGGACTGCCACTTACAGAAGAATTTCTGAGCCGTGGGCAAATTCTGGTATATGAAAATCTATATTATGTATTTGAAAGCCAAAAAGAGACAATGTTTGGACAAGCCACTCTTTTGGATGATCTACACATTTTCTCCCTTCCATTAGCATAGGGATAATCATCTGTACTTTAGGAGATGAATCAGGGGAGAGTTGAGAATCTCACAATGTAAGCAAGAGTCAGATGGGAAAGTAAGTGATGTTTAGGATACAGTGCAGATGGTATAGTGTGGATACCTGGTCTGACTCCAAAACAATGACATAAGAACCAAGAAGAACCATTCTGGCTTAAGTCACTTAGACTCTATGATTTGTGTCAGCATCTCCTAGAGGAATCAGAGGAGGAAATAACACTTTTTGATATTATTTTCAGCAATTCAATAAGCACAGGAAGGAGTTGGTGAAATACCAGTCATAAGGGAAGTAGTTCCAAAAGTACTGTCCATATGATTGCATTTTGAATACTAAATAAACCAAACAATTGGCTTTCCTAATATTTGAAAAACTCCTTCCTTCCTTCCTTCTTTCTTCCTTTCTTTCCTTCACTTGTCATCTGTTTATAACATTCTTAGTTTTTTTCCAGACCCCTGAGGATAAAATGGTGAGCAAGACTTGCATGGTGGGTCCTCCTAGACCTTGCGGTCTAGTGGAAAAACACTTAATGAAGCAAGCAATGATAATAAGATGTGATGACTCTTGTAACAGGGATGTCTAGGGTGCTCCGTGAGTGCTCACATCCATTCCATGCAAGCCCATGGTGGAAAATATCTACCTCAGTGTGTGAAAGAAGGGAAAACCAAGAAATCTTTCCAGAGGAAGTGACATTTAGGTTAATACCTGAAGGACAGATACCTTCTAATTTATTCAGTTCTGAGCATGCGAACAGAGGACTAGCAGTGTTAAATATATATGGTAGAGAGAATGATTTGTCTGGTTCATGTTAT